ACAACATCTTCAGCGCCATATTTAGCACAAAGTGAAATGATTTAAATTTCTTCATGAGTGATATAATTGCGTCTCCTGGTAACTATCTTTACATATGTATTGAGCATTTTCTATTGACTTGGATTTTAAACTTTCTGGTCACATGATTTACTTTTTATTAGTTGGTATATTTCGTCTATATTAACATGTTTGTTAATTGCAATTAGATTACGTCACCCAACCTACTTTTGTAACTTTATTTTAGTTTCTAACCGATTAACGCCTTCTAAATTACGTAATTTGTTGTCAAAAATTAACAATTGCATTAACACACCTTTGGAAATATTCCTTTTGTTGCCAAGAAAAATTACCATAAATTTGAGGTTTGTACAGCTTGAGAATGATATCGCGGAAAAGAGTAACTCTTTGCTGAACGCCTTTTCTTTTCTATGACTGAATGGGAATTTCCAAATTGCATTTTCGTTTGAGTACCAGGCTTCTAGGAATTCTCTGGCACTTTCGTGTTTCCTCTGCCTAAGATTTTGACATTATCTCAATCAAATTGATGACCATAATTGTCTATATGCATTGGTACTAACGAATACATATCGTGTCTTTTCAAGGCTGATTTGTGTTCTTGGATTCTGATTCGAAGGGGACGCCCACTTTGGCCGATGTAATGCTTGTTACAGTTCATACAATTTATTTTGTAAATGGTATTATTTGTTCAACAATATGAATCAAAAATGGGCGCAATGCAACATGCTTTATGAACTCTGTCATTATTTTTTCAGTAAAACCGAATTATACAATATCGAAACATTATCATTAGGCAGTCGAATTCTAATGAAAGTTTTTGTTTTCGTGCGGTAAACTAATTATACATTCATTCCTCCCTTATTACACAAAGTAAAGTCTAGTTGTTTCATTGCAGTGAAAAGGACAGAGGAATAACGAATCCAATGAAAGTATACGACAATGTTTTTTAATTTCATCGAAATGTTTCATACTAAAATCGACTTGACTAGCAGTTTTACTTAAGATGTTGGGAGTAATACAATGTTCAGAGTGTGGATCTAGTTGTAGTATTACCAGGATTGATGTCTTTTTGTTTTAGAGACTTCAGCAACATTCTTTCCATTATTTCTGGTATGTATGAAAGCAAATACTAAATACCTCTTCAGCTACTTTCCTCTGTTTCACAGGATTAGGTAAGCTTAACACTGACCTCTTCCAGTGTACTTGCCTATCCTTAACCGGGAAAAGAAAAATGGTTAGGCGTAGCGCAAGCAACCTCACCCCGTAAAAACAACCTCATCGTTACTGGGCCTTCAAAGCAAAGAAAAAAACTTATTCTCGGCTGGAAACGCCAAGACTCCTCATTTCGACGACAGACAACAGCGGTGGCTAAGAGTCTTTCTGGAACTGTTAACCTGGTGCGTTTTCTTTCGGTGAAAACGAAAATCAACGTGAGGACATGGGCAGTCTGCATAAGGTTTCAAAGTGACTGACTAAGCTGTTCAGATTGCAAAAGAAATGAGAGGATATGACATGAAAATGTACAGAATCTGTGAGACTAGTTTCATTGGGAGCGGACTTTCCATATTTTTTTAACTTGAGAGTTAACAATCTACTCAGGTTGGACGGACGATAACAGCGAACACCCTCAAGATGTGGCCATCATAATATCACCGACAGTATCGAAAGCTCATCTACAGTGTCAACCAATCTCGTGCAGAATAATGAAGGCAAGATTCAACTAGAAAATAATAAAAGTAACAATTACACCATTCTGCGCACCCATAAAACACGTGGACAGAGAGAAGAAGGACGATTTTATAGGTAACTGCAAGTAATAATAAATACGATCCTAGATGGTAATATCGAAGTTCTACTGGAAGATGTGAATTCCAGATAAGCTGACAGCAGACAACACAGGAAGAGTATTCTAAGTACGCCATATACAATAATATTAGTGCCGTATAAAACTAAATAAGAGAAAAGAAAGTGCATAGTCAAACACTGAAACTGAAATAATAACATTCATTTTCTCTCTTTTTTTTCTTTGGCAGGATTATCTGATCTAATCAACTGGATTCATCTGCATCCTAGAAAATATCAGTTCAAAGTTTTTGACAGTTATATTGAAAATCTAGTGAATACAAATTCTTTACTACACATACTTTATGTGAATTATGAACGGGGTCATTATTTTCTCAGCACATGATGTTCATGTTGAATAAATAGTTAAACACAATGGAATATAATTAATTAGATCGTATGCATTTTTATTATATCGGTAGGCTAATATGTAGAGCTTTGAATGAACTTACGACATTTTATTTAAATGCCTTGAAATCCTGCAGGAAAATTTCGCTTAGTGTACATGAAATATTTCGTTTTCTCTCATGTGCATTTCTTTTTTATCTTTCTTCTTATCTTATAAGTTCCTTTTTATATGAATAAGCACTTATATGTATTTATGTCAAATCAGTGGTTCCATATAATTCAGAGATTTCGTGTATGCGCAACAAATAGCTGATTTCCAACAACCTGCTGCACATTTTTATCGTCAGCTGCCTTCGCTACCCACTGATGAACAGATGATCACCTATAAAGCATAGGCAACAAGGAACTCTAGCAACGAATCAGTCGAGAACCTATCGTCCAAGAAATATTCAGAAAGAAATAGAGATGGACTGGACATAAGCTAAGGCAACCGTTGAACAGTAACATCATGCGACAGGCCATCGGAGGAGACCCGTGTAGCAAAAGACGAGTTGAGTATACGAGGATGACAGTGGAGAGATTGTGTTTGTGGAGGAGACGATAGCCTATGGGCAATAGTAGAGCGAGCTAACGATGACTGGAGAGAACAGGATGAAATGTGCTGTTTTGGCCTTCTGTTCCATTTCGAACTCAAGGGAATAATAATTATCATAAAAACAAATGCATTTATGTAGTAAAATTAAGCAATCGAATTGTTTACTGGAATATGAATGATTTCAAAGTAGACTTAGTCACAGACTGATATCAGATTCAGAGCAAGTGAAAACTAATTAATACTTTACAGATATTTCTTCTCAGTTTTTAATTCTTCAGTAGTGACTGATCATGACGCGACGAGTCATTAAATCGAAAGTCGTCAGTTTATGAACCTACCACGGTATCTCTTACTCTTTCGGTTGAAATCTAACTGTCCATAGAATCTACGTTTAATAGAATTGCGAATGATTACGTGTGTACAATGAAAACATAGGGTCATTCGGTTGAATATTAATCGGTTTCTAAAAGTCTTAAATTGAGAAGAACAGGCTCACTAGTTCTCTATGCTGTTCAATATTTCCTTTAACTTATTTCTGTTAGAAATGAAATCTTACTTTTGCCATTTTATATTTGAATAGTTTCTAATTTTAATTTTTAAATTTTTGTTGCAATTTTAAAAGTGGTCCTGTTATATACATTTCATTTTAGTTTGATAAATATTTTAATTATACTGAACTTTATTACCATCATTTTACCACATTATTATGAATAACTGTTTCTTAATGTTCAGGTACTTTTCTTACACGGGTCTAGTTTGTTACATTTAGTTAAATTCTTGTGCTTTCATACCTTGAACTTATGAAACGATTCTATTCGGAGTGAAAAACATACTATGAAAGAGGTAAGTGATGAAATTGTCTTAAAATGCTTTATACCACAAAAAATGTTTAAGATTTATTACACAGGTAAGTTACAAATGGTCGTTGCCATTCATGGTTTCAGATATCCCCTAAATAGAGACAATAAATCGTATGAATACATTTATACTATAGCAAGTAATCAAAAGTGTTTGAAACGTCGTCAATAAATGGTATATTAACAGGAATACACAGTTTCGACTTATGACTGTTTTACAGTGGTATTAACGTGCGAAGTCTTCAGTGAAGTAAGAGATTTAAAGGGTATGTGAAATCTGACCATAAGGTGAGATGCACCATGAAAAGTGATAATTTATCCTCGACATAATTCTGAAGGACCTCATATTTTGAAGAATGAATGTGTACATGCCTGATTTGTCTAATATTAAAGTTGCATTTCCTTTGTCTCACTTTGTGATTACTATATCCTTGTTATTCTTAAGGTGTTTTAGGGCTTCTATCTCTGGCTTTGTCAGGTTAGGCTTTCCTTGTTTTTGTCGTTTTAGTGTTAGTGCACATTGTCCCCATACTTCGTCAGCCGTTGTCTTGTCTATCCCATTTAGTGCTATTTCTATTGTAGGGATGACATCCCCAGTTTTCACCTTGCCTACCGCTACACTGAAATTTAGTCCCTTTTCTAACACACTAATCTCTGTGAGACTTAACACATGTGTTGAGAGATTGATAACCCACTTTGTTTTATCGATCGCCGTTGACTTTAGATTGCTGATTTCATCGTTCTGAGATGAAGATTTCTCCTCTAATAATTTATTGAACTTTTTGATTTGAGTATTTTTTGACTTTTTGAAAGTTGCTGATTTGGCATTGCTAGAGGGTTGTTTTATAAGATCATAATCCACACAGGTAACTATTCCCATTAGCTTTTGCTTTAACTGTTCAATGTCATATCTGATATGGGGCAACTTTTTAACAATTCTGTTGATCTCTTCTTTTAGGCATAATTTTTATAGACTTTCTATTCTGCTTCTAACTCTGTCCGTTGGAACTGGAGCTCGTAGACGTAGGTATTTAGGAATGATTTCATTTTTAAAGCATCGAATGTTGAAAATACGATGATTTTCATATCTCGCTTCACTTTGCGAAAGTCGAGTGAGTTTGTTGATTAGTCTTCGTACAGGAAGACCATAAATCATATAAATATGTGTGTAGATGATCTACTTCGAAGTCTATAATGAAACTTCTGTATTAATAGAGTATTTTACGCATCACGTGAAGCTTTCATGTTTTTTTTTCACTCTTAAGTTACGTAAAAATGCAGTGGAATATAACAAATTGACCACACAAGTGAATATTTACCATAATATACAACAAACTTACCACCTAGAAGCATAATACAAATGGCAAATATTTTCTCATTTGTTGTATTCGCTGAGACATTACCAAATCCAACAGATGTAAGACTGCTGCATGTAAAGTATAAAGCAGTGAAATACTTTGATCCTTCTGATGGTCCGCCAGATCTGTTTAGCCCGAAAGGGGTTTTCAATCGTCGTGCTAAATCCTTAAGCCATCCTAAAGGAAATGTGAGATACACAAAAAGCGTAAACATTTTTAAATTTAAAGTTATGCGAAGTAACATTCCACTATGGAAAGTTGATTCTCTGAATCAAATTACTGAACACAAAGAAGCATCAATGACTACACGAAAAACAGAATGTATTCGCATATGTGTAAAACTTGGGCACTGTGGTAGTAAGTAATTCCATATTAGTTTGTTTATTAGATATATCACACAGTGAAACAGTATTATTTACTGGATGACGTTTCGAACAAAATTTATTGTTCATGATCATATCAATTGTAATCACACGATTTTGACACTTGAGTTTTATAGTTTTCTTTGTTCTCTCCTATTTGTCGAATGGGTAGTGTAGAGAGGGGAGGGTATAGGAAGAGATTGATAACAGAAGCTTTGTTTATCGAATCAACTGCAAATACATGTAATAGGAATGAATCATCACCTGTCCCCGATATCTGGAAAATTCTACTACCCATACGACAAATAGGAGAGAACAAAGAAAACTATAAAACTCAAGTGTCAAAGTCGTGTGATTATAACTGATATGATTATGAACAATACATTTTGTTCGAAAGGTCATCCAGTAAATAATACTGTTTCACTGTGTGATACATCTAATTAAACAAACTAATATAGAATGTATTCGCATCAGATTGTAAGAGAAGTATGTTAACATCATATTTATTACTAGGACATTAATTATACAACTCAGAGGGAATATTCACCACGGATTTCTTTAAAAAACAGATATGTTAAGATCAAATTATATGATCAGCTGACTCCCGTAAACGTTAATGAAAAAGGCAAGAAATATTTAATCATTGTACATATTACTGCTTTCCGACTACTGGTGTCAGTCAGTAGTATACGCCAACAAGCAATTACTTCTGTTTTCTTAATTACCACATATAGTATCAGGCAGATCACATCGCCAGAGCTATATATTTTGGGTTTCGTATAGGCAACTGTGGTGAATTTTCACCACAAGTTATACAATATATAAATGACAAACTTCATTCCATATGATATCATGTCGCCCAAATAGTTAATCAGTTTTCAGATAGTTTCAGCATGTTATAGGCCCACAGTTCTACCTGTATCCTAAAATAATTACTCCGTAAACGTAGATTACTGTTCTCTTCTCTTTAAATGCTGTTTCTAAAGACTAAGCATTGACTTATCGTTCTCTCTTTAATCCTGTCAGTGAACTTGGTGTTAGTCAAAATCATCCATAGCGTTTATATTCAGCTCAGTTCACAAGTTTATGTGATGTGAAAGATGAAATCCCTTGCATACCAGTGAAGCTGTTGACTTCACCGTTGGGGGTATGATTAGACACTAGAGAGAACTCGATGGCTTATTTGGTTCATGTCACTGGTGAAATAATGGGTGGTATTATTAGTCACAACACAAACTATTTATTTGAGTCTGACCGAGTACTTTGATATCCGGTGCGTAAATCACTTCGATGAGCCTAGAAAGCAATACTGCTCAAAGTTAGTAATTTCACTACTATGTTCACAGTCAATCACTGGGTCATTAGAAATAAAACAGCTCATGATTCCCACAATTTGAGGGTTTCTCATTGAATTCGGAGTTAGCTTATCTGTGATAACATTCTACAACTGTAATTTAACTATATGTAACTCTCTCTGTTGTGTGGTTGATAGTTTGTAAACTTGAACACGTTCTATAAGAATGAAAAATTGGAGCACATCAGCAGGCTGTAATTCTACAAAATGACAATTTGATTTCATGAATAATGCAGTGGCACAGTATTATTTATTTATGGATGATGTTTTGAGTACAGTTTATTCCTCAGAATCTCATCATTTGTGTCAAATAACTTTCAGAATTTTGCTACACAGTTCTTTTATTTATTATTCTTTGATTCTATTGATAATGACGTCTTCCGTACCTCTTTGCTGCTGTGGTTGCTTCATCTCTGTTGCATTTGTTAGGTGTAGATTCAATGAACAAGGACTCAGTGAAAAACCATTTCCCATTTCTTAACTGCATTAAGTCTTAGAACTGTAGCTCTGTTCTACCCATATTGTATGACTGTGTTATTCTATCCATTACAACTGCTGCGATTTTCTACGTTTTTTATCTATTCTGGAGTCAGTCATTCTGCATTTAGCCAAGTTCTTGAGTTCCGATAATCTGTTCGCCCCTACCTACTATGAGGCGTCTGCATAGTTTACTTTATAGTCACTGTTTTGTTTTATATGGTCAGTGAGGCCCGTTAGTCTGTAAAGTTTGTCCCTGAGCGACTGCAGGCTTTACTGCCACCGTGATTCCTGCTTTATTAATAATCTTACATAGATTTTCAGTCAGGAATGTCAAGACGTGATTGATTTTTACTTGAAACCATTCATATCTGCATTATCATCCAGTTTAGAAAATAAGCGCACATACACTTCGATCATAGATACTGCCTAAATTAGTTCCCAAGTAGAAAATTAGTCAGTAAAAGGAAATCAATAACTATAAGTAAGATTTTTGTGTTTTATTCAGATAAGCATTACTTAGTTCAGTTTGAATATGTTCAATTTGAAAGTTATTCTTTGACCTATACATCTAGTTCTTTAAAAATCCTTTTTATTTATTGAAACTACACATCACTTCGAGACCCTCTGAACTGAAACAGAAAGATGCTGTTTTTGTAACTGCTTAATAAAAATAGTGGGGAAAGTATACGCATTTTTCTAAATTATCACAACATCAATGCCTACTAATAAAGCTACGGAAATGATTAAACTTTTCAGAAAAATTATAAAGTAAATTTAAACGGCTCTCCATTACTGAGATTTCTCGGATAATCTGGTACATAAATCTCTGTTTTCAGTATGACTGGTATCAGTTACCAGTTCCCAAAGTTGCAAAAGCTGACATGTTAACAGAGACCGAAAACTTCAGTCCAATTAATCAGTGGAAAAGCCTAAATTGAATTAAACGATTACGAATAGAATTCCTCTATTATCTCTAGCAGAATGTCATCAACAAGATGATATGGTTGAGATTAATTCTCCTGCATCGTATGTTATTTCATGTAAACAGTAATAGATATGGACAGAGAATGCCCAAAATACTACAAATGCAACTAAAAAAAGTTTGTTTTGATTCTAAGAAACGTTTATAATAATAATATTCAAGTGTGGTTCAATTAACATCTGGAAATGATAAATATGATATCCTTCTGAACAGATGTGTGAAGAAATTTATCTCTACATAATTTGCATTTTTTTTAACTAGGGAATTTTAAATGTGCCTGCAGGAAATAACATACACATTTAATTTCGAAGTAAATAGTCAACAACTACTACACATCTAAGAGGAGAGGAAATTTCAGTGTGAACAATTGTTTTCAATAACTTCTTCTTCTTCATGCTCTGTATTTATAAATCGATGAAAGTGAGCATACAATGGCCAGTAAAGGCAAGTCAAAGTTATACTAGAAACCGTATTCAGGTACGAGTATAAGATGGAATAATAGTCTGTCGGCTTCAATTTTCATTTGAGTGTGTATATAAACTGTCAGTCACTAAGATCATGAGATAAAATATGAATAGACATTTAAAAGTGACCTTCCTGTAAATCACAGACCATAATTTAAGCAAATAGGTTTTTTCAGTAATTTATCGTTAAACTTCATGATTGCGTAATAAAATATCAGTCTTAGACACTTGAGACCAATGTGGCTAATAGAAATAAAATTCAGGAGTGCGAACTTATATTGATTTGCTTTGTGTTCCGAGTGGGACGGATGTCTTGGAGCTAGAGCTATGAAGTTTCGGCAGCAGTGGTTATATTATTTTTACCGAGTAGGGTTGATAGCCTTCCCTCTTTACTGGCCTTACTACCGGCTTAGAAAACTTTAGAAGTGCATCCAACGAGTGAACAATCGCGGACTACATAAATAGTTGGCGAGCATTCGACCGCCGAACCACCAACGTACAGGAGTGTGAATAAGTGGACAATAATCAAGGTGATATTAAAAATTAAAATGATAAATTATTTCAAGTGTTTATTTAACCCAGATAGTCAATCGTGTCGACTGTAGAAGTAGAATATGTATGTATACTTGTAGTGGTAGAGGGGGAATTAGGTAGTTGAGTTTTACTTTTTTAATACATGGTGAAACAAAGATTGATAGTCATGTCCAGCTAGACAGAAGGCTTCAGAGTTGAGCATACGGAATTACACCTTCATTGTTTCACGTCACTATTTGTGTGGCTTATCGGTTTAAAAATGCTTCCTTGTTACTTGTGTCCTGGTAACGCTCATTCACCCTGATGTATTTGCGTCGGTGGCACAGAGGTAGAATGTTCACCAACTGCGCAGGTGGTTCAGGGTTTCATCCCCGGCCGACGCACTCCTTTACCCCACTAAGCCAGTAATAAGATTGGTAAAGAGGGAGGGTTTGACATGAGGCTAACAACCCCAGCAAGTAAAAATAGACAACACTGCCACCAAAACTTCAAAGCTCAAGCTTGCAGCCCTATGTTCCATTGGGAACTTAAAGGAATAAAAGAACACTGGTGTATTCTGGAGGTCTGCTTTCGCATCATTTTCCATTTTCACCGAAATACCAATGTAACTGAACAGCTTGATAATATAGTCATCAAAAGTAGAACATCTTGACTTATTCAATTATTTGTATGGCTTTTTCACAAAATGAACGCCAACTTAATATACTTGATGTATTCACAAATAAATGAGAATGATCTAATCTTTTCTACAAGTGTTCCGTTTATCATAGCAGACAAAAAAATACAGAAAGGTGAATATCTTTATAAATTTTCTTTTTGAATTTTAATTAGATTTCCTCATTCTGATTATTTATTAGTGGAATCAAATAAATTTGAGGCTAAAATTAAGGTGTATTTTCGCTTTTTCTTGCGTATTTTTTCTGAAAATTAAATTATTCCAGACAGTATATCAATGCAAAGTTTGCCTTTCATTC